TCTCAGCTTCTTCATCTTCTCACAGTCTTGCTGCAGGCTGAGGAAGCGCTTGCCCTGTAACCTCTCTAGGAATGCTCCTCCTCCCTCCTGATAACCTTGATCCTCCATTCCAGTATCCTCCTCGCACATGCCTTCCATTACAATCCCTTTCTTTTTTCTTTCTTTTTACTTTATTATTGTTTGTTTTAATTAATAAAAATAAAAACATCAAGAAAAGAAAAAGATTACTAAGACAGACAAATCTGGCAATAAATGTTGTAAATGCTACAACAAAGAAGGAACATTTTTTTCCATTGGTGGTCATGCAAAAAATCTTTGAAAGTTTTGGAAGGAAATGCATCAAAACATTCAGAAATTTTTAAGCATAACATTTGAATTGAAACCACAAATATTTTTATAAAACATAAATTAAAAGTATCACAATTTACTAAGATTACAGCTGCAAGAGCAAGTTTAAAATTTAAAAATGTAAAAGTTGACAGCTGCAACTGCCTAGTACTGGGACCCCGGACTGGAGACAGCTAACATAAGCAAGACAGTAGACTTTCTAGGGAGGAGGAATGAAATGGTGTAAAAGGAGACTGCAATATAAACAATGCTGTTTATTGTATATGTTGATAATGTCAGGAAGATTCCTGCAAGTATGAAATATAACAGGGAGGTCATTTTAATAGCTTATCAAAGCATTCCAGCAAAAGGGTCATATACAGATAGACCTGAGTTACAATGGTAATTGGGACCGGAATTTTCGTCACTAAGCAATGCGGTCATTAGGCGAAACATCACGTGACCACATCGCTTAACAATGGCAATCCCAGCACTTTCTGTTGCCATTGTTAAATGAATCCCACTGGTCGTTAGGTGAGTACCCACCCTGATCCAAGCCATTCCCAGCTTGGACTCTCCCAGCCCTTAGTAAGGTAAGGGACTGCCTCCTCTCCCTCTCTTGAACTCCCCCCACCCACCTGTCTCCCCCCCATCTCTGCCCCAGTGGCTGGCCTGTGCAGTGGCACTCCTCAGTGGCAGTGGTGGCAGTGGCAGCACTGGGGCTATAGTAGAGGCCCGGGGCTTTCAGCAGTCTAAGCTGGCCCCCACTGCCCCTGGGCCTCAACTTCAGCCCCAGTGCCGCCACTGAGGAGTGCTACCTCATGCTCTGCAATGTGGCTATCCACCCTGTTACCACAGCACAAAGCCCCCCACTTCTGAAGCCTTCCAAAGTATTGTGAGAATGGGATGTGCTATTTGGAGAATGGTGTGAGCGGCCTTGGGAAGAAGGCCTGGCATAGAACCAGGCCGGGCGCACCTCATCAGCAGCGGGAGGAAGACAGCTAAGGTCAGCTGTGTGCGGCAGGGCCTGTGGAGTGCAGGGCAGTGGGGGCTTTGTGTTGTGGTGCTGGAGTGGTTGGCCGCTATGCGGGACTTAAGGTGGCACTTGGCGGTGTTGGCGCTGGGGCTGAAGTAGAGGATCTGGGTGGAATGTGGCTGGCTGAGACTGCTGAAGGCCCTGGGACTCTACTTCAGCCCCAGAGCTGCCACTGAGGAGTGCCACTGTGCAGGGTGGTCAAAAGAACAGAGATGGGGGGAGATAGGTGGGTAGGGGGAGTTGAAGTGCCCTTGCAGTGGTAGGTGTGGGCGGGCCACCAAGTGCCCAAATTTTATGTGACTGTGGGGGCACTGCAACGTCCGTAACTTTGGGGACAGTCGTAAGTATAATGCATTCAGCGCTGCCATAATTTCAAATGGTTGCTGAACGAATGGTCATAAGTTGAGGACTATCTGTAATTGTACTATTTCTTCTATCTTTCTGTTTGTCAATGCAATTAACCAAACATATATAATCTGTAGAAGTGCTTCACTCAGGACATTCTCTCTCCCATTGTCTGTTGGTGAGTAGCCCAGTGATCACCAAAGGGCATTCCAATAAAAGTGTGCTTTGTTGCATCTATCTCCCATCGCTTTGGTTTCTATCTTAAGTGAGCAGATTTTTCACAAGTTACCTAAACTTATTTTCCCATAATGTTTTTACTTACATTTTATTACTAGTTGTTTATCTTCTCCTTTGCTTTTGTATGAAATACAAGAATCTCTTTGTGTGATTTATGTTTAAATAATTCTGGTAAAGTTTATGCAGTAAAAAAAGATTTTTAAAAATTCTTTTAAGAATGGCTAGTAAATGCCAAATTCATCAATTTGGTCAATTAGTCATATTATAATAGCAAATTATACTGACTTCTACCAAGACATGTGTTAATGAAGTAGGGTGATAGTTAAATACCCAAATAAATCAGTAATATTAAGTACTTTTAGATCAAACTTTTACTAATGGTATTTAATTTTTAACCCACCATCTTAGGCTGAAAGTAATGACAAGAAAGCACAGACTCTATTAAATAATTTCAGTAAAACTAATCAAAGAGGAAGAGCTTTAATTTCAAAGATCCAATCTCTTCTCACCAATATTAATGGTAAGAGTAATGTCTTTTCTTCTACATTAAGGCTGGGGAAATGTTATCAGCCTGGGGACCAAAATAATTCTTGGCTAATTTCACCAGTGCCATAGCAGGCAGCTTTCAATTTGTTTTCTTTCATGCGCGTAGAGATGTTTACACTTCATTTAGGGTTTAACAATTTTCTGTTTACATCAGTGGAAGCGATTTAAAAACCTCACTGCAGTACTAGTGGGGGCAGTTTTTTAAGTCAATCTCAATGTTAGTGAGGGAAATTTATTACTGTCGTTTATTACTGACCTCCCCAGCATGAACCTCCCTCCCCAGTACCTGTTCCTGCAGTAACAAAGTTTTGAAACTGCTTCTATTCACAACACTTGAGGCTATTTAAAGCCTTATGCAGGCCAAAAAAATCATTTGTGTGCATGAGTGACCATGCATAATGACTCCTAATCCAGGAAAGGATGCAATTGGTGCACCAGAGGGTGTTGTGCAAAACTTCTCATGGCCATGCCCTCCACCTGCTGTTCAAGCAGGAGCTATGAGTCCAGGAGAACTCCAAGATTGCAAGCCAGCTGAGGACAGGTGAGTGTGATCCCACTCAGAGCTAATGTATAGGTAGAACATCTCTGGATTCAGAAGACTTTCAAATCTACAAGTACTCCATTGTGGTAGGGCTGAACCTGAGTCTGTCCCTCTCAATCTATTTCCTAACCACTTCCAAGCACTGGGTTAGGACCTTCATCTCCTGCCCTGCTCTGTCCAGAGTAGAGACATACAGTAAAGTTGAATTTATCCACCAATTGATGGTAACTCACCCTGTGTTGACAAATGACATCTCCCAGCAGCTTCATGTAAATGTTAAACAGCAAGGGGGAAATGGCTGAGCTCTGCAGTGCTCTATAATGCAATGTGCAAATGCTCAATTTCTATGCCCCACCAACTGGAACTGGTTGCTCAGGGAGGAGGAGAACTACTGCCAAACAGTGTCCTTAGCCCTTGCATCTGGCCTAAAAGGATACCAGAATCAGTGCTGGGTTTCATTCCCTCATCCCTGCCCTTCAAAAGGTCATCCACTAGGGTGACCATTGCAGTTTACCCAAATCTGAATTCCAGCTGATATGATCTAGATCAGTGTTTCTCAACCTTAGCAACTTTAAGATGAATGGACTTCAACTCCCAGAATTTCCATCCAATACCCAAATCTGAATTCCAACTGATATGGTGGAGATCACTGTTTCTCAACCTTGGCAACTTTAAGATGAGTGCACTTCAACTCCCAGCTGGCTGGGGAATTCTGGGAGTTGAAGTCCACTCATCTTAAAGTTGCCAAGGTTAAGAAA